AAAAGGAAAACCACAGGCGTTTTGACCGTGCTGAAGCCGCTGCACAAGCACCAGAGCTTCAGAAACCTGCCAGAGAAGGCAGCGCGTTTGCTCCGTCCGACTCGAAGCGCCCGTCCTCAATGCATCCCGCCCACAGGCATGTCCTCGCGCGAGCCGGGGCAGAGGCTGCCGCCCGGGTGCGGGTCCCGCGGCGGCGGGGAAGGGGGCAGCGCGGCCCGCGCCGCCGCTACTCACGGCGCAGGCGATCCGGTACTCGTGCAGCCTGGCCTCGCCGCCGCGGCCGCCGGCCTCCAGGGTCTCCTCGTCGCGCAGGGCCATGCCGGGGTAGGCGGGCATGTCCCGCGCCGCGCCGCGGGGCCGCCTCCAGCCGCGGAGCCGCGCGAGGAGCGGCCGGCAAGGAGGGAAGGAGGGAAGGAGGGAAGGAGGGAACCCCCCGTCCCGCGCGGGCAGGCGCCGGGAAGCCGCCCGGGACGCCGCGCTCAGGTCGCCGCTTGCCAAGCCCGAGATAAGGGCGGTATTAGATAAACTCCCAACGCGGGGTTAAGGGTAATCGCTGCTAAGCAGTAAAATGAAAAAAAAAAAAGAAGAAAAAAAAAAAAGCCAACGCGGAGCTCAACTCTTGGGTTAAAAGCCGGCCATACAGCACGTTTGCAATCCTTAAATAAAGTGTTAACAAAACAAATTCCTAGGTAGATGGTTTCTTATCTCCTCCATCACTGCCCGCCAGGGTTCTGAGCACCCTCCTGGTTTTTAGCCCCAGAGGATTTTCCCCCTTTGGTTTCAACCCCCCCTCACGGTGCACTTCTTTCAGCACAAATGACACATGACCCGGGAGTGATAGATGTGTTCCAGAAAAAAAAAAAATACACTAATTTAAGTTCATTTAAAAGTAAAAAAGCTTTTCTTTAAGTAAAATTTGAAATGGATTTGTCTTTCAATTGGGTATTAATGAGGGGGGAGGGTGTTTGTTATGAAAACATATTCTCATAACCTACAGTTACCAAGTTTCACAATTCTTAACAAAAATCACGAGCAGATGTATTCACRTGTTGATCTGATTCTGGGTTGCAGCAGTGTGAATTGTGATTTAAAATAAATGTATAAAATGAGCAGATTTTACCTTTGAGAGCATGAATTGTCCCTGAAGCACCTGTGATACGATACATTTCTGCTCATTCTGCATTGAAAGAAAACAATTTAGCAAATGGAACATGATTCGATGTCATGTATTAAATTTTATTGCTCTTATCTGATTAGCACTCTATTCTCRGAACATTTTTACCACCTGGACAAATTTCTATGAATATTCCCATTGATAATATAAGAATATAAGACCTCACAMACATGACTGAGTCTCTAGTCATTTCTCTGATTAAAGGTTCCTGGCATCACACATGTTGAGCAACCCTTTCCTTTTTCCAGCCATGCCAAAAGATATTTCACACCAAAAAAACAATCTGCAAGAGACTATTTAAGAGCAGAGATAACAACACACTTAAAAGAAGGAGGAATTCTGAATCATGCATTGTTTTTTTCAGTTCCTGATTGGCAAGTTTAAGTGACCGCTCTGTGTACAGTCTGTCAAGGTGAACAGATGGAGGCTCAAATGAACAGCTAAACATTTCCCTACAATCCGAATGGCAGTGATCAGTTCATTTGACACACCCAGAAACCGAAAAGCTTTTGAAAAACACGGGGAGGGCATCCCTATCATATATTTGTTAATCTGTTAGCCTTTGGGGAAACAAGGAGATAGCACCGTGTTTCAGTTTTCACTAGATGTGCTGTTTTAAGCTACTACACATAAATTGGAGCAACTGGAAGTGTTTGAAGACCATCAGGAACTAGACAGTCCTCTTCATCTTCCATGAATTCTTTTGCAGGCCAGCTTATTTTATTTCAGTAAAAACTGTGATGTAAAAACACTCCCCAACAATGGAGTAAGGTATCATAAAATAGCAGATAAAACTTCTATGTTCAGAAGTTTGGAACATACAACTTAACACCCAGGAAACTATGGCAATTTTTCTAGGAATCTAGCCTGCACATTATTTCCTGAGAGTTATCAGCTGTTTTCACTTAATGTTTTAAGTATGTGCATAGTCATATGCTGCCTTAAAATAAGGTATTKTCTATACAGATGTGTTCTAGTAATATTCAAACAGTTGGGTATCCTGTCACATAGAAGATACTTTCCGGAAAAAAAAGTATTTTGCATTGGTTACAATCAAAGGAAAGCTCAGAAGCTTACATTTAAAATGTGGAGATCTTGAGAGTACAAGATGAATTGCTTTCATATCCAAAAAAATGCCAGGAAGTCATATCTGATGTTATGGAAAACACCAATGTGCTTACTGTTGCTTACAGATTAATTTTGTTAATACAAAGGGTAAGAATTATAATATATAATTATAAGGTAATAACATTCAAGTTAAATGCCAAAAACGAGGTGTTGGTTGTTGAATAAACAAATTGTCTGGAAAAAGCAATACCAAAAAAGTATTCATTTTTCCTCACCATTCCTTTCAGTAAATAGCTTTAGTTGGGGCCAGCGCAAGAGAAGTATTTGCCACAGGAACCYTTAAATTCCAGTTTAATTCAATAGTTGGAATGGATGAATGACTTGCTTGTTATACCTGTACAGCAATTGTATAATGTCACTTATCAGAATGTTTGTTCAATTTTTTTAAAGTCATTTCGAAAGGTACATTTTCTGTGTGGATTAAGAGCGTCATTTCTTTCTCACGCACAAGTTTTTCTTCCTTGTTTGGTCAGGCTTAGGGCCTTATGTTATCCAATAGGCACAGCTCGGTGGTGCTTGGCAGAGACACTTGAGGGTAATCTCGGTGCTTAAGATTTGTAGTGTTTCTCCTCTTTGATATTCAGCGGCCTCAAGAAAAARCAGCTGCTGTTCCTAGGTGTGACCTGCTGTAGCTTTTCAGGGCCTCAGCCCTATCTCAGTGACCAGATACTTGGCCAAAACCAGGACCACATGCAATTGTGATCACGCAATTTCTTTAACAGTTTAGATGAGGGGTTAATTTATTAGATAAATTACTGTTGGTGTGTTATGGTGGACAGCAGTCGAGACAGTCATGTGGTCTAGTTTATAAAATTTCATATAGTAATTGGGCCAGGTTGTTGAATCTGGATAAATTTAGATTAATCCTGCTTGATCAAGGTAAGCAGTTACAATTGGCCAGCCATAGCAAATGCAGCTTACAATTAATGTAAGCTAATGATCTTGAATCAAGATAATGTTGCACAAAGTTATGGCCACATTGTGCCTTGGACATGTATTAGGGTTAGGTCAAACTTTGGAGCCTAAGGCATGGTGAGAAATGGTAGTCTGAGAGTGTGACCCACTGTTAAGGCAGAGCAATGTAAGAATAGTAGACTGGTCCTCAATATAAGACATAACAATGCATAAAACATCATCTTTTAGGCTCTGGTTCACTTATGAGTCATTTTTGGGAACAGATCATGAGTCTGGCACAGAATTAGCGCATATACTGTTTTGAATGTTGCTGTTTTGATAAATACTGCTCTAGTTAGTCCAGCGTGAGCAAGTGCTGGGACTGAAAGTTGCAGTGACATCCAAGTGAGTGTCAAGTCTCATTGCAACACCCTTTAAACAAGCTATTTACACCCTTTAAACAATGGCTATAAGACGAGATGTTTTTTACCAGAATAAATGCTTTTCTGTGAAAGCCAGCTGGCAACCCAATTGTAAAAGTGATACAAAGAAGTACAAATGGACCTTTGGACCWGTGTTTCCAATAATCATTCATTACAAATATATGTAGGCAAATAATACACAGGCCTATATTACTTTTTTTCCCAATCTGGAATTTCATAGTACGTAGACAATAACACACTGGTTGACTCAATTCTCTGTGTATTCCTCCTGGCTACCACGGGCACCTCTGCTAGCTCCGTGATTCCTGGTGCCACTCATATCACAATTTCCTGATACTCTTTACTTTTTAAAAATATTTATCACAGTGCTTACATTATCTATTCTTCTAGGGCTGTTTATACAAAAGCTGTTTATACAAAARCTGTTTATATTTAAAACAAATAATTTATCCAATTTATCCAATTTATTGTAAGGTTTTCCTCTGTGAGTATATGTTATTTTCGACTCAGTTCAGATCTGGAAATTTTAATTTCTTGTTACTCAAAGCCTTCAAGTACCTGCTAGGATTGGGGGACATGAGCTGGATCACTCTGCTGTAGACTTAAATCTGTTTAGTTAACAGCGGTAGATGGATTGAGGTTGGGTGCTGTTTTGGGAAAGCATGCTGTCCAACAGCCGCAGGCAGAAAGGACAGGAAATACAGTGTCTGACAGCCACAAGATTTTAAAGCTATGTTAATTTGCTACTTTTTTATCCAAAATAAAATAATAAAAAAGTACAAATATACATGTATCGCCACTTTCAAATCAATGCAATTTCAGTTTATTCTTTCTAACTTGTTTTTACGGGAAGGAATAATGCCGGCTCAGCACCGGCCTTGCCCCCACCGCCTGCGGCGCTCCCCGCGCCGGCAGCGCCCCTAACGGCAGCGTCGCTAACGGCAGCGCCGCTAACGGCAGCGCCCCTAACGGCCGGAAGCGGCGGCGCTCGGCCCCGCCTCGGCGCGGGCCCGGTTTCCGGAGGCGGGCTGGGGCGCTCGCGTTGCGGCGCGCGGGCGGGGAGGCCGCGCTGCCGCCGCCGTCCCGCCTGACAGGCCCCGGCCCCGGCGCGGCGCGGGCGGCGCCATGGCCATCCCCATGGTGCCCATGGAGACGCAGCTGCAGAGCATCTTCGAGGAGGTGGTGGTGAGTCCGCCGCGGAGCCGAGGCCTCCCGCTGGGTCCCGTGGCGCCGGAGGCCGCGCGGGCCGGGGCCGGTGCAGCGGGGACACCGCGATTGGCGGCGTCTGCCGTGAAACGAGCGGCGCCTAAGAGGGCCCCTGGGAGCCGGGCAGGAGGGTGAGGCGGGCAGGGCCCCTGGGACTGGCGCTAGCGGAGCAGAAACGTGCCCAGGCCCCCGGCGGAGCCGAAGCGCGGCCTTCAGCAGGTAGAGGCTGTGTTTGTGCCGCCCCCTTTGTGTATGGGCCGTGTTTGTCATGTATAGAAAAGGACACTGTGCGGTTTATAATGTTCAGTCGCCCATACCTCGTTTCAGGCACTGTCATTCAGACCCTGCTTTCAGATGTTTAACCCTGTGCTTTGACAGGGACAGGTTTGTTATTGCCTGCTTTCMACCATGTTGTTTGCCTGAAATTTCTGTGTCACACCAACCAAAAAGAAAAGTTCCCAACCAGCTTGGAGAGGCTTGTGGGACTTTTATGGTTTGCTTTGAGATTACAGTGCTTACCTTGGCCATGTAAAGTGATTAACTCTTGAACCTGAATTGACACCTGAATTGAACCTCAATTGTCTATTGACAGTGTCGAGCAACTGTCCAGCTTGGGCTTTTCTGAGGTGGTAATGGAGAAGGCAGCAAGTTGCAAGTTGCAATTTTTGCTCTCTCTTTTGCCAGCTTTGCAGGCAGTGGTGAAACTCGGTTAAGTTTCTGTGCAGACAGGTGAGCACTGGGTTCTCCTTTGCTTCTTGAGAAGCCGAGGCAGTTGGTGCGAGGTTTGACTGGTGGGAAGAATTGCTGGGAAGAAAATACTCTGGAGGAAACAGCAAGTGATAAAATAATAGTGAAAATGTGTCAGTTATGGACTGYACATCTGTGTACAGCACAAAATGTCTTTAAAAGAGAAAAAAAACCCTATAAACTATACTATAAATATAAAACTATAAAAAGGATGATAAATTGGAATAACGGCAARGAAACCTTTGTGCAAAATAGCATATAAAAATGAATATTACAAAGGAGAAAAATTAGATGTTTGTATGTTGTCCTTCTTGCAGCGTGTGACCATGTGTTCGTTAAGTAGAAATTTAGAAAACAGTGGACCTAAACTCCGAAGGGGAAGGAACTCTGTGCATAAAGGATATATGTAACCCAGTATTACAGAGTGTAACTAGGATGGACAACTTAATAGGATTGAGATTAGGATATGGTTCAGAATAGGATTCATTCTGTAATACAGGAAAGGTGAGACAGAATTACAGAGTAATTTTTCCACCATCATAATGTAAATTATCTCTAAGTGTTCAAAAGAAAATTGGTTCAGAGGAAAAACCTTTATTATAGAATCTCAAAATATTATATAAAAGTGAAGTAATCAAGACTTACGAAGAATCAGACTTTACAAAGAGATGCATCTGTGTGAAGGCYGCCTAGTACAGTCCATCACTGTGGTGCTTTATCCTGGTGGTTTAGCGCTCCTACCAAATCTTTTCTCCATGTTCTTATTAATTTTTTTTTTTTCTTGCAGAAAACAGAAGTAATTGAGGAAGCTTTTCCTGGGTGAGTGCAATGCCAGTTTTGGGGGCATGCTGCATGATTTTTTTTTTTAGAATTGCATTTTCTATGTGTGTTCTTTCATTGGTGTACTGCTAATAAATAATATTCTTATTTGCACTAGTATGTTTATGGACACTCCTGAAGATGAGAGAACCAAACTGATCAGCTGCCTGGGCGCTTTTAGACAGTTCTGGAGCAGTCTTTCCCAGGTTACTATTTAATTTGTTTTGTGTTCTTTAATTTCATATTGTCTAGTAGACAGACAACCAACTGTGTTTCCAGGCACTCAGAATCTGATTTCACACATGTCATGAGAAAGCAAATAGGAAGACTTTGCAAGAAAAAAGATTAGTTTATTGATTTTAATGGAATTATATAGCTGCTTAGCAAGGATTTGTGTACAGTACTGATAAAACAAACGGAAATCAAATGTTAATTTAAAATAAAAGTTCTTTTTTGTTTGTTTATTTTGTTTTTTAGGATTTTGAATRGAGGTGAATGTAGAAAAGGGGTATATTTAATGAAAATCAATACTTACATATGAGATTTACCTTCCAAAAATTAAATATCTCTAAGCATTCTTGTAGTTGGAGACACCATCATCTTCATTTCTAGCACATAGACTCTAACTGTGAAAGGGAAAGAATAATACAGAATAAAGATACAACTTACTCTGTGATGGATAGTTTACGTGTGAAAACCAAAACTGTCTCTAGAAATCAGTGTTTCAGATTGAGGTGTGACTTCAGAAGGAATTATTTMAGATACCCCGTTAAAATAAAATCCAAAGACTTGCAGAAAGCTGGAGTTGGGCTCCTCATATCCTGAATGTTGAGTTTTTACTCTGTCAGTTTCCTTTCTTCATGGTAGGTCAGTATATGATGTTTTAGTGTTTTGCTTCACTACCTGCAAATATATTATTTCTCTCTTGTCTATTTTTTTTAGGAATCCCATGAACAGTGTGTCCAGTGGATTGTGAGATTCATTCATAGCCAGCACAGTCCTAAAAGAATTTCTTTTCTTTATGATTGTTTAGCAATGGCAGTAGAAACTGGACTGTTGCCACCCAGGTAAGTGAAGGGGGACTGAGTCAATCTATGGTAGATGGAAATTGTGTTACTGAGGGCTAGTTTTATGATGACCATGTAAAAGTATTGTTGGAGAGCAGGTGTTACTGCTCTTCAGTCATTCTCACATTATCTCTTTCCTCTAGGATGGTTTGTGAATCTCTGATAAACTCCGATACACTTGAATGGGAAAGGACACAGTTGTGGGCATTAACATTTAAATTGGTCCGGAAAATAATTGGAGGCGTAGACTACAAGGTATCTTCTTCCCACTCTTTTCTTTGTGTGAAGACACATTCTTTTCTGGCTTTGTTTTTATTATGTTGGTGACTTTCAGTGCTCCAAAATCTGCTTCTTGATAATCAAAGAGAAGAGATTCGGTAGAACTGTTCTTAATACTTTTTGATAACTGAGCTTTACTTTAATAAGTAATAACCTATGGAGGCTTAACCTTTTCTACTCTTTTCTGTCCTTTGTAGTCTTCCGTGCCTTTTTTCAGTTGCAAGCTGAATAACCCTAACATAAATATGTACGTGGTATACTTGGAAAAGGAATACTATAAAGCATTAAGGCTTGTATTCGCACATCTGTGCTGCCTGTTTTGCTATTTAGCTCTGAAAGCTGGGCCGTTGGCAGGCTCAGATTGCAGCAGAAGCCATAGAAAGCCACACGTGTCCCTCAGTGGAGCACTCTAGTATAGATGCTCATGTTAGAGTGAAAAACTGTAACATCTGAACTAGGTGTGGTAAGTTGGCCGTTGTTAAGTTGGATACCTCTGGATGCACTTAAAGTTCAACACTTACTTTCTACTCTGGAGCATGTGCAAGGTTCCATAGAAGATTTATTGTCATTAACACAATCTCAGTAGTAGTCTGTCTGCTGACACTTAGAAGCACATAACTAATTTCAGTGAGAGTGAAATTGCCTGATAACTTCCGTTGTGTAATTTTGTTGGCATATTTTTTTATATATCCTTTTTTTCCTTTTGTTTGTGTGTGTGATTTTTAGGGAGTGCGCGATCTGTTGAAAGTGATCCTGGAGAAAATCCTCACAATTCCTAACACCGTGAGCTCAGCTGTTGTACAGCAGCTTTTAGCAGCCAGAGAGGTAGCTATTTAAGTTTTATACGTTGCTGTAGGGGAAAAAATGGATGTTCCTTTTGACATTCACCAGTTGCTGAAAGACCAAGATGGTCCTCTGAGAGTTAGTACAGATCAACACCGAAGGCTCATTCTTTGTATTCTGCTAGTTCTTTTTAGTAAATGTGCTTTAAGCCTATACAACAAGCAGCTTTTGAGAGTGTTATGGAAAAAACACTACAATCTTTAAAGAGTTTTCACACTGCACATTTGACTTGGTTAAGATGTGTTGTATGAAATCAATACTGAGGCTTAACTCCTTTTTCTTAGGGAATAAAAATGTTAGTTGCTTTAAATATTTGGTAACCAGACATAGAGGTAGTTTTAGAAAGGCTTAAACAGGCTAAGGATCAAATGGTCTAACTAATACTTCTGTAATCAAAGTAGCTTATAATTTAATATAGTGATATCAGAATACAATTTGAGAAAAAAATATTCTAATCTTTGTTGATACCTATTTTTATGATGCTGATTCAGACTAGTAAGCTGACTACACTTCTGATTAATTTGTCTAAAGTGTTTCATGCTAATACATTTTTCTGGTTTTAGGTGGTAGCCTACATTTTGGAAAGAAATGCCTGTTTGTTACCTGCCTACTTTGCAGTTACAGAAATCAGGAAACTATATCCTGAAGGAAAGCTTCCTCACTGGGTAATAATAATCTCAAATCACATAACATGGAATTGGCTTTCATGCAAAACAAAGATCTAAATCATAGAATCACAGAATGCCCAAGGTTGGAAGGGACCTCAGAGGTCATCGAGTCCAACCCCCCTGC